TACGTTTCCCAGACCTGAAGAAGAGCTCTTTGTAAGCTCAAAAGCTTGTCTCTTTCATCAACCAAAGTTGATCCAATAAAAGATATTACCTCACCCACCTTGTCTTTCAAATCTCCTGGGACCAATATGGCTGCTACAACACTGCATACAGCATTCCTATTCCTAAGTCTTTCTAATTCTAAATAAATGCTTCTGGGAAAAATTTCCTCCTGCCACTCTCCATGCGTTTGAGTACATGAACTCCCCACTGAGCCAGGGTAAGAGGAATTAATAGTCTGCCCTGGATACAGGTGCTTAAATCAGCTCTGCGCTGCAATCTTAGGTGGAGGCCTTTTGGCTAGAGTTGGTAATAGGGCAGGAACGGTTTTGAGGAGGGATGCCTCGTAGAGACTGCCCTGATGAGGGAATTCCCTACTGAGAGGTGTAAAGGGAGCTGCGTTCACAGGCTTGTAGACAGTGGTCTTATGTGTGGAAGAGAAGGCTTGGTCAACAAACTGTTTGATCTAAGAGGGGAGAGACTATCTTGTCTTCTACAGGAAGATTGGAGCCTAGATATGAACTCTCGCTCATCTCAGGCAGTGGTATTTTGCTAATGGGGGGGGGGGAGAGAGATATTCTCAAACAGGTATTTTTAACACTGGTTGAGGCTTCTCCCCCAAACATCTGAGCATGTGAGTGCTTCCTTCAACGTCTGGCCAGATTCAAGAGTTACCATGATTTCACTAATCCTTTGGGGTCTTTTTAGTGTTTCCTACAATTCTTGTCATTCCGTCACTGCTGGCTTATCTCCATGATTCTCATCAGTGTTGTGCTACAAATCATCTGATAGAAGAGATTCTGTTAATAATTAGTCTTGCATATTCCCTCACAACCCAAGATCCTTGGACCATATGCAAGTGGAGTCTAAGCTTATATGGCTCCTTCAGTGGTTCAGCGCAGTGTGGTGGCTTTCTGCTACTTATAATCAAGGCAGCGTGTACTCCATGGCAACAACATTCTTAATTCAGCAGCAACAGCATTCATTCATTTTTATCATGAAACACACTTCTGTCCTATTCCTATTCCTCAGTACCACTTGCAGCTGTGGTTCATTTAAATACGAATGGAAGTAACATTAATTATTTCCGAAAATGGACAGGTGGCCCATTTACACATCCCAAGCTTTGGCTCCTGTGCTCTTCTTCAGATAGCACAGATCAGAACCTCATTTCCTCTCAATGTGCCAGGGATATGGGTAGTAGGAAGGCAAGCTGCTGAAGCCATTTATCACTCCAGTGTAGTAACTGAGGCATATTCTTTAGCCAGCGCAATTCACATTCCTACACTTCTGGCTGCTCCCCAGTCCCTGTCTGTAAACTAGACTCCAGCTCTGGTTCCCAGAGCTATGCTATATGGCTCCATGGAACAATGGGTGGAGCATGCCCTGTAATCCAGTTAACTCTGTTGTTGTGAGGAAAACGGGAAAACAGGAGACAACTACAGGGAGATCCTGGAAGGGCAAGGAGACAGGGAAAAAATGTTGGCTACTGGGTTTGACAGCAGTAAAATGGTGCATTCTATGAGAAGGAATGCTGAATTTTTGGCATCTTCCAAAATGTAACTTTTCAAGTCTATGTACGCCCACTTACTAATGTGCAACTAATACCGCCACGTACATGGCTTGAGTTTTCCCTTCATTTCTAGGTTTTCAGAGAGGTTTGCTTCACACTCTTAGCTTGGCTGCAGCCTAATGTGTTTTGGAGTTTTCAGGTGGGCTGTATGCATCTGTTCTAGTCTTTACAAATGGTTTTTCTTTTGACTTTTTTTCTTCTTCTTCCCCTTAAAAACATCTGACGCCAATTCCTTCTGGTTATTCTTTTGTATTACATGTGTTATCCAAAGCAAGACATGAGATATTGCGTAAAGCAATGATTTTGGTAGAAAGGGAAATTTGAGATATAATGGTTCAGCATTAGATGTTTCCTATATAAGTATTTAAGTTAAGCTTTCTCTTAAACCATTTTTAGGGATATCTTGTCATTTTATTTTCAAGCTAGGGTAAAACTAATGGGCAGCAGGCTTAAAACAAATAAAAGGAAGTTCTTCTTCACACCGCACATAGTCAGTCTGTGGAACTCCTTGCCTGAGGAGGTTGTGAAGTCTAGGACTATAACAGGATTTAAAAGAGAACTAGATAAATTCATGGAGGTTAAGTCCATTAATGGCTATTAGCCAGTATGGGTAAGGAATGGTGTCCCTAGCCTCTGTTTGTCAGGGTGGAGATGGATGGCAGGAGAGAAATGGCTTGATCATTACCTGTTCGATTCATTCCCTCTGGGATACCTGCCATTGGTGCTGTCGGAGACAGGGTACTGGGCTGGATGGACCTTTGGTCTGACCCAGTATGGACGTTCTTATGTTCTTAGGGGCATCTTTGCCTTGTTCTGAGCATTTTCTGCTTTGATTATGATCTGGGTAACAAATGCTTTTAAGATGGTAACACTTTGTATGATTTAAATAACTATAAAAAATAAAACTTTTTGTGTAGCCTTTTCTTGTGTAACATATCTTTTGCAAAACTGCTTTGTTTCTTGAACTGATTTTTGTTTGGGAGGCTGCCTGTATAAGCCCTAATTTGTGTAGATCTGGCACAGTAGCCTAGCCTGCTGTGAGTTAACATTTATAAGCTGTCATGTGAAAGGGAACCATTTATACTCCTGGTACTACCAGGTCACTTAGGCTCTGGTAAGCTGTCCAAGTGTCTGAACATGTTGGCTTGTAGATATTACTGTTTGGAGTGCTTGGCACTGAAATGAAGTGTCTCTAAGCAATACAGAGCTAGTAGATAATTTTGTAACATAACTGGTGTCTGTTTCGTGCTCCTTTGCATCAGTAAAGGGGCAATTTGCATTTGTAGATGCTTACTCCTATCTACATAGTTTTAAAAATTGGTATAAGGAGAGAGAAGAATAGTTCGTTGCATTGTATTGATGGGGGGGGGGGGGGGGGAGACTGTCCAGAGGTCTGATGTTGCATTGTTGTAGCAGCACACACTTTTACCTGTAAAGTAACTAGCATAGTAACACTTTTTACAAGGTTCTGTGTTTCTCCATGTTATTTGGCTCTTTGTTTCTTAGTCCTGTGTTAGGATGACAGGGCTTGTCTCTTCACAGCCCGCTTTAGCTCTGCCTGATGAATTTGTTAATCCCTAGAGAATGAAAACCAGTAACCAGTTAAACTCCGCTTGTCTTGCTTGTCTGGGTTGAGTTTATCTGCTGTTGGGGTCAAGAAAAGGCCAAATTTTATTCCATTTGGTTTTTTTCCTCTCTCTCTCTCCCGCTTTTTCTCTAAATAAAAGCAAGTTTGATTTTTAGGACTACATTAATCAGATTTACACCGATTTAAATTTATTCATAAATTGATAGACCCAAAAGAGCTACTTCCGATTTACATCCGGGTAACTGAGATCAAACTCTGCCCTTTTGTCCTTAGTTTACATGCTCTATTGTCCATCTTCTGAGATCAAGGTAAGAGTAACAGAGCTGGTTGCTAGTTGTTGGCACCTTAAAGACTAACAAATTCATTAGGTCATGAGCTTTTGTGAGTAAAACCCACATCATCAGATGACTGGAGTGGAAATTACAGAATCCAGGAGATATATCTATATACAGGGCTCAACAAACTCTACAATCTACTCACCCTTGGCGAGTAGATTTCAGCTGCATGCCCCGTTCATTTGCGGCACATGCATGCGCAATGCGGCTCTTGTGCATGTGCAGTACGGGGCTAGCGAGTGGCTTTTGCTGCCATTTGTCAAGCTGTGTGTGTGTGTGTGTGTGCGCGCGCGCGCATATACATACAGGGCTCGACAAATAATACAATCTACTCGCCGTGGTTGAGTAGATTGTAACCTGGAAGAGCCAGGTTTGGGCGATCTGCGCATGTCCAGAATGATCTGCGCATGCGCAGATCGCCGGACAGCGTGGCTGGCGAGCGGGGCTAGCTGTGTGTGTGTGTGTGTGTGTGTGTGTAAATAACTTCTTTTGCTGTTTGTTTATCTGTCAGTTGTAGGACCAGTTTTAATGAAGCTATTCAGAGTATTTGGTGTGGAAATGTGAATATATTTTAGGCACATCCACACTGACACTTAATTGGCTTCATGAACACTGGTCTTACAATTCACAGGTAACTTCTTTTGCTGTTTGAATATATAGCCCAGATTCTGTAATTTCTACTCCAGTTCATCTGAAGTGGGTTAAAACTCATGACCTAATAAATTTGTTGGTCTCTAAGGTGTCACAGGACTGCTCATAGTTTATGAAATTGTAAAAACAAACACTGCTACTTTCAAAAATTTTTGAATTTGGGAAATGACAGTGGTTGAGTCTGGAACTTTGGTTTGGACCACCTCAGTTTTGGAGGCTAGACTGTGTAACAGACCAAAAATAAAACGTGGGCAGCAGATACTTACAAATGGACAAGAGTTCTAAGCATCCAGCATTCTGTGATACCGAACTAGGGTGGCAGCCTGTCCAGACTCAAAGATAAATAAAACCTCCAAGTTCTGACAGCCCTGACCAAATTAGCGATGTGACTAGTGAACTATCTGATAAGCATATGCATATACTTCCCCTCCCCTCCCCCACCTTGCTGCCGGTATCAGAGAGAGGCAGCAGGTGGGGAAGCAGGAACCCGTGCTGGGGGAACCGGATTAAAAGCTGGTTCCTCCCCAGCACCATCTCTGTGGGCACAGGGGACACAGAGGCATAGCGAGGACCTTGTGGCTCTTAATACATTTAAAAGGTAGAGCTGCAGCAGAGTTAGCTCCCGGGGTTGGGAGCTTACCCTGCTGCGGCTCTGCAGTTTTCCCCCCCTTATCAACGAACAGTTGATTTGCTGATTAAATGCCATTTAACATCTCTAGACCAAACTACTAGAATTCTTTCCATTAACTTTTAAGAAAAAGAACCTACTTCAAGTGATGCCTCACCTTTAATTTGCTTTATTTTTATGTCTAATAGTACATCCTCTCTGGCTCTGATGACTTCAACTTATACATGTGGAGAATTCCTCCAGATCCAGAAGCAGGTAAGTTTTTGTATGTGGTGTCTAACAAATACTAGTGTTTAAATACTATTTTCTTCTCCGACTAGTGTCCAATATCATACTGTATTTTAGACTGAGAGCATATGGGATCCTTATTCCCTTTTGTTGCTACATCTCTATTCTTGCCCGACTTGCAAAAGGCAGGACCTAGAACTTGGCCATTCTCTCCATTATATTGAGCACAGTGACTTATGCTTAATCTAGAACATATCTTTTTAAAAGACATTGACTCTTGATTTAAAGTGTTTGGAGAATCTACTTTCTTTGATAAACTGCTTCAGTTACTAATCCTTGCTGTTAAAAATGTGTTCCTTATTTATACTGAATATAGTTGAGGTATGATCTGTTGTGCCAAGAGACATGGATTCACTTGCATTCCCCATCAGTACCTAGCCCATGATCCAATCAGTGGACTAAATTTGGTGATGAATCCTGGTCACATGCCACCTGAAGCAGGTTTCACATAAGCTAGAACTTGTGTTACAGTTACGTAGTAATTCAGCAGATAGTTTGCCGTAGGAGTAAAGTACAAAATTATTTTATTTTTAAAAGTTCTTCAGGCACAGTGAATTATGAGAGCTAGCTGCTATTGAGAGAGTAAGTCATAAAAGGCCCAGCAAACTGGAGGACTTTGAAAGAAATGAGGCCTCTTAATTTTGTACTGGTTCTTAAACTTGATTCTATAAAATAATCTATTTTATTTGCATGCAAAACTGATTACTATATTTAGAGCAGTGGTCCCCAACCTTTTTGAGGTTGTCGGGCGCCCGGGGGTGGGCCCCCCCTCCATAGCCGCGCGCCCGGGGGCGGGCCCCCCCCCCCATAGCCGGGCGCCCGGGGGCGGGGCTCCTCCCTCCTTTCAGGTAGGAATAAGAGATCCTCCGGAAAAGGGCTTTATTCCGGAGGATCGGGCCAGTCTAGACTCTTTTTTCCGGCTTTTCCCCAAGCCGGGAAAAAAGCGACAGACATGTTTATTTAAATCCGCGGGGGATATTTAAATCCCCCGCGGATTTCCCTATGCTGACTTACCTGATTTGCATCCCTTTTCCGGAATTTGGGGCCAGTCTAGACGTAGCCCCTGTGTTTGGCATCTTTCCGAGACAATAATTGTGCAGGTTGGCCCTCCCTGGTCTGGCACCCTGGGGATCTGAGCAGTCCTGATCCAGAGTTTGCTGAACTAAGGGGAGGTCAGTGCTCCCCTGCTGGCCCACTCAGGGGCTCTTCTCCAGGCTGTAGGGCTCGCTAGGCCAGGGCTCCCCACCCTTCTGCTGGCCTGCCCAGGGTTCCCTGGAGTCTGGGCTCCCTACTCTTCTGTCAGTACCCCAGGGGGCTGGGTCTGTCCAGGCTGGACTCCCCAGCTGGTTCCTGCTCCCGGCAGGACCATAGCTGTTGCTTGCCCAAAGAGTCCTGGATTTGGGAGGTTTATCCTGTGGTACAGAGATGTTCTTCCAGTGGGCAGGCTGGGTCATTTCCCACTCTACAGTAAGCTGCCCAGTGACTTGTTCAACCCAGGTTTAAATGTTCCACACAAAAGGACTTTCATTGCTTACCTTGCAAGATTTATGTCACCAGAGAATAGTTTTTTAAAAGTTAAGAAGCTTAGAAGTGTTTTTCCATCTTCCCCCATACACTTGTTCATTTTAATAGATATATTCCTCCTTGAAGATGGTGGAACATTTGTTCCCATGCTCCCCACCCCTCACATTCTTAATTCCTATCCAGTTCTCAGTTACTTTTCAGAAATAATGATCAGTGGCTTGTGAGGTTTTTTAGCTAAATTCTCTGATTTAAGCCTTGAGCTCCTCATCGAAGGGTACAAGTGGGCAGAGTCTTGGTTTTATCTTTCTTCTGATAGCATTTCTTGTGCTGCAGGAAATGCTAGCACCATGATGAGCCATTGGCCATTTATTTGGGTAACCAAATCAAGTATATCTACCACTTTATATTGAAAGTGAGAGACTGAAGAGATTAGGTGTAGTCCCTACCCAGGCTGCTCAGCAAAGCTGTTAAAAACTGGCTTAACTATTTGTGGTTTTTAACAATATTTACTGGATGTATGTGTGTCTTTAAATTTCACTCCAAGATTCTGTTTTAGGAACAGGAATTTTATTATTTTGTAGTTGGAAAAGATGATCAGAGTTGTTTAATTGAAATGACTGTAACCTGACTTCTGAGCTGCTTAATAAATCACAACAACAAATTGCGTTTTCAGATCTCTCTGAATACTATCTTTGACTGTAACTCTGCAACAGCTGCCAGTAATCGGCCTGTCATTGTGGTCCAGTTACTAAATTAATTATGGCAATGTTCAGCATGACTTATGCAATTTTTCTTCCCTTTTTTGCATGATCATTGAGAACGCAAACAGCTCTTCATGCTTGAAGAATTACATAGCAAGATTTTATTGCATTGCAAACAAGTTCGTGTTTTTAAGCTGTCAGAAGTCCAAACATGATTGATGGAAATGAAGAATTGCCTTTTATGCTAGTCTCAAATACACCACACACACACAAATTTGTTATATATATGCCTGACTGGTATAAATCCCTTCTTTTCCAGAACAGTGGTTCAAATTCATCTCAGATCAGTAGTGATCAAAACTTGCCCATATCACAAACTACAACCTCGTCTCTTGAGCGCACCTGTTGTTTTGAAATAAAACGGACTCGCTATTCTGACGAGTTCTACAAGGAATAAGTGGGACTCCATGTAGCGTTCCACCTTTGAAACGCACAAGAACTCTTACTGGTGCTCTTGTCTGCGTTCCACCTTTGAAACGTATGTTCTTATCAACTAATTGAGTAGTCAATAGAAATCCCATCGACTATTCAACTAGTTAATTGAAATTTAACATCCCTAGTTTTAACTACAAGAGCATTCTTCCTTTCCCCATTATATTTCTAGTGTCTAATTCTAAGGGGCATTCATAATCCTCTGCAAAGCATTTCCCAATATCAGCCATGAGTTTTCTAATATAGTGTGTTCAGGTAGCCAGTGTATAGAATCCAGTAGATGCTTTAAAACGTGCCTTGCAGGCATCACTTATATTGGAAGCAATTACTGAGCAGCTTCTCTTTTTTACTTTTGAGGCTTTGTCCTAGAATATTTGTCCACTTAAAAACTTCAAGAAATGCACTTTGTATAACCTTGCCCAGGTGGCCTGATGCATGCTGGTGATTTTCAATTGTCATTTGATTGGCAAGAATGCTATAGAAGTAAGGCAAGTTGCCATGAATGAATGTGATGAATGTCTATCATAGACAAGAGCATGAAACGGGTGAAGAGTCAAATCCTTTAAATTCAGAATTTAGGATCCATTCTTATACCTCTACCAGCTCCACTTACACCAGTGGGATTCCATTTGCAAAACGGGCATTTTCTGTGGTGACTTGCCCAAATGAGTTGAAATGTCACCCATTTCAGTCTCAGTGACTGCTCAAGGAGAGATTTGACTGCTCAAGAAAAGAGATTTTCCTTATGTAGGCAAGGGAGCAGAACTTTCCAAATTTCTCAGAAGTTACTGGGAGTCTTAAATAACTTTATAAGTTCCAAAACATTTGGCCAGCCTGTGTTTCTTACTGTTTGCTTTTTTTAATATATAATTTATGGCCTCCTCTCTTCCCTCTTTCTTGCATGCATCTCAAATATGGCATGTTCATTCTAGTTCATCCCATGTAAATTTAGTGTCTCTTTTCTCTTTTGCCATTGAGAAGTCCTTCTGCCAGAAATAAAGTATTATGAAATTGAAGTTATCGAAAGTTATTTACATAGAAAAAAATATACCCTACATTTAAAATCAGTTAATTTTGTGTCCCTCTCATTTTGGGTTCTTGTTATACATTATATCCCTCATTTATGCGTTGCCAGGTTGAGAGGTGAGCTTTCACTGGCAGAGGGATGCTGTAGAAATCAGCTGATAAAAGCTTTTACTAAGTGAGAAAGGTTGAGAAATTGGTAGATTACATGTTCCATGCTATTCAGGTAAGCTAACAAGGGAAGACTGTTATAAAAGCTGTATTTGAGAAGTTATCTTGTTTTGTTCTTTTCCCCTGCCTGGCTGCCGTTTAGTAGCAGTGCAGCTTTTTCCAACAGGAAATGGCCATTTGATGAAAATCTCACTACTCTCCATTTCAGGAGAAAATGTTGCTAGTTAATTAGGACAGCATAGGAATCCAACTACAGTACACCTTTTGTTCTGAAGTAGCTCAAGCATAGGGACAAAAGGGGAAAGAAACCTGATGAGCCAGAGCCTTTTGGGGGAAAGCAGTTCAGTTTAAACTTAACAAGCAAACATTGTGTGTAGAGGGGGTTTTTGTTTGTTTGTGTTTGTTTTTTAAAGTTAGGATTGCTGCAGGCATCACAGGTCAGTAAACTGCCTTTAGCTTTCAAAAAGATGTATTTTGACTTCAGGAGTTATATTTTAACACACAATTTTCACTTATCTTGTTTTCATTTTTCACTTAAAGAACAGTGCTGGTTTTGGTCGTGTTCTTCATTATGGCATTTACTTATTTAAACATGCAAATGTGTGTTCTGAAATTATAAAAAAAAGTGGGTAGTTGTATAACCCTGTAGCCACTGAAAATCTCAGCGGTACAGGGCAGGATCCTGTGTATAACCATTAATAATAACCAATAAGCCTAAATTTATTGCTTAACCATTTAAAGAGTTATACTTTTTCCATCTCTAAATATAATGAATTTACGCTGTGGAAAGCTGTCATTGAGAAATAAACCTAATAAACTAGGCGTCTCACTCTTAAATGTGAGTTACTAATGTAGGATCTTAGAGGTACTACCTTTGTTTTCTAGCACTCCCCTTTATGTAGCCTATGTGGATTAATTCCTTTGCCTCTTGACAAGGAATCATGCCCTGTGGAATGATGCAATTTTGCCCCATTTCATTACCCACAAATTATCTTGCAATCTTTACCCACTGATAAGTGAAGGCACAATGATTGAGAAACCAACTTGTGCATTTACTTCTGCCTTAAATGTAGGTGCTAATGAGTCTTCTGCTTCCCACAAGCCAGCTTTACATGCAGTTCAATTAAATATGTTACTGCTCTTTTATATGAGATGCCTACATTTATCCCAGGGCTCTAAAATTGCCTATGTTTTTATTTGGGAGTTTGAAGTCTGTATTCTCCAAGTGCAGATTTGCTGAGAGCATAATCCTCATCAGAGCTGCATTCTTTCCACAATAATTTGATGTGCAAATTTGATATTGTTAATATAGGAATTAAAGAATATAGCTAATGTGTACTGTTCTCTATAGTATGTTGCAATTCAGTTCTCTTCTTCTTTCTTGTGTTTTCCTAGGTGGAATTGGCAGGGTTGTCAATGGTGCCTTTATGGTGTTAAAAGGTCATCGGTCAATTGTAAACCAGGTCCGATTTAATCCCCATACCTACATGATTTGCTCCTCTGGTGTTGAAAAGATTATAAAGGTAAGAGAACAGGGGTTTCATAGTATGGACTGTGATTTAATGTCTTTCTCTTTTTGTGAACACTCTCCTTTTCTTCATCCCCTACCCCCCATTTGCAATCTTGTTCCTGTAGTAGCAACAGAAATTGCATACATAGAAAAAGAAACATTAGGAAAGTGTGTGTGTGTTGTATATTTAATTTAACGTCTGGATTAGGGAAGTGAGTGGGTAGTCAAGTACTTGACTAAGGCTAAGCTTATCGGGTAGTTGAGTCGAATACTTGACTACTCACTTCCCTCCATGCCCCTTGGTACCTCTGTGTGAGAAGCAGTGGGGAGAGGACAGAAGCCAGTGCTGGGGAGAGCCAGCTTAAAAGGCAGAGGGGGAATGGGGTAGGGGAGTCTGCCTCGAAGCAGCCTCTGTCCACCTCTGACCCCCATGGACAGGGGCTGCTACTGTGAAGCAGCCCCTGTCTGTGGCAGCCTGGATTGGCCACGGGCAGAGGCTGCTTTGGACCAAGCAGTCCTGGCTCATGCCAGTCTGGGAGCTACTCATGCTGCAACTCTGCATTTTAAATATAAAAAGAGTGCAACAGCTCTTACTACATTTAAAATGCAGAGCCACAGTGGTCGGGAGCCAGTTGTGAGCCAGCTCGCGGAGCTTTTCCTGCTGCAGCTCTGCAGACTCCCCTTATCGACTAATCGTGTAATTGATATAAATTGTATCGACTACACAATTAGCCAAGTACTGTAACTGCTCTTTAACATCCTTAATCTGGATACAAAAGAATAATTAGCACCATGTGACCGCAGCCCATGGCTCAGGGGTGGGCAAAAGGGCCTCTGCAAGCTGAAGCTGGCCTCCGGAGGCCCTGCCGCTCCCCCACTCCCAGGCCAATTAGGGTCTGGGGGGGGGGGGAAGCATTCAGTTTCCTCCGCCCACCTAGCAGCACGTGGCATTTAGAGTGCCAGGTGCCCCTGGCATAGCAGGAGGAGGCATCACATGCTCCCCAGGCCAATCAGGGACTGGGGGCGGGGAGCGTGCAAAATTTCCTTTGCTTTGTCCCCTCCCTGCAAGCAGTGCACGGCGCTTAAAAGCGCCATGCACTCCTGGCATGGCTGGAGGAGGCTTTGTGCACTCCCCTACCCCCAGGCCAAACAGGGTCTGGGAATGGGGGAACATGCAAAGTTTCCTCTGCCCTGGCCCTGGCCTGCCAGGACCGTGTGGCATGTAGAAGTGCTGCGCGCTCCTGGCAGGGCAGGAGGAGACTTTGCACACTCCCCTATCCCCAGCCCTGATTGGCTGGGGGTGGGGGAGTGTGGAAAATCTCTTCCAGCCAGGGGCATGAGCAGGGGGCTGGCAAAAAATTCTGGTGCAGCCCAGGGCCACTTCAGGGATTTTTTTAAGTGGCCCCCAGCAAAAAATTATTGCCCACCCCTGCCTTAGCTGATCATCAGCAAGTGCTGCTGCTTGCAGCAGTGTTCTGAAGGCAGTGATTCAAGTTTGCTAGCATACCAAGTGGATATAATTTGTCTTTTACCCAACTCTTTAACTTGAGCAACCAATTTTTTTCTATGTATATGTATCCATTTTACACCAGTGCCGTGCTCATGCTGTTAGTTGTCTCTCTATACCTTTTTATAGCAGATTTTTTTCAGTTAAATATAGTGTTTTATTAAAGATTGTCAAAATAGAATTTTCAGTGTAAACCCTTTTGAATTTCAAATGTGGTGGAGCTCATAAGGTCAGATGTGAATTTGGTGGATCTGAATCTTCCCCCATTTCTCGATTCCTAGTTGGGCCTAAAGGAAAATTAACCTATTTTCCAGTTTCATTTTTGAGCATAGCTAATGTCTCATGAGATTTTTGACCCAGACTGACAAATGTAATATGATTTCTGGATGAAATTTCATGAGAACATTCTGGAGGACTTCAGTACAACTGAACCTCCACCTGTATCTGATCCAAGTACTGCCTCCTAGGCCCATTTCAGCATTTTCAGAAGGCTAGAAACTACATGGAATGTAGAGGTATATCCTATTTTGCTATATTTTGTCTTGGGGGCATAAGAAAATGGACTTCTGTTCCTGAGTCATCTTAGGTGTTTATAGACCTACCACTTTGCATGCCACTGCAACCGAAATAAGTAATTGGCTTCGCTGTTCCTGTTGACAAACTAAATTTCTAACTATGAAAACTGACCCTACCTCAAATCATTTGCTGAATGGCTTTGTAAGATTCTTGAGTGCATATGGCTATAATTGAGGTTGTTTGAGTACAAGGAAATGCTGATATTTACAAATTGACTGATCTTTACCCTGCCAAGAAATATTTTAATAGTCTGCAATTTAGGGATGAGTTGTGCCCCAGATCCTTGTGAGCACGTATAATGCCAGCAGGCGGAACCAAACCTGGAACCTCTGGAGCTTAGTGCATGAGCCTCTACTGCTTGAGCTAGAAGCTACAGCTGAAGAGCAAGCTCATTCTTTCTCTCTGTAAGTCAGTGGTCCCCAACCTTTTGGGGCTCCGGGCGCCCAAGGGCGGGGCCACTCATACGCTGGCCACCTGGGGGCGGGGCTATGCACAGCCCCGGGGGAGGGGCCAGCCATATGCCGCACTCCCGGGGCCGGTGCCGCTCCTGTGCCACATGCCTAGGAGTGGGGCTGCTCATACGCCGCGCGCCCAGGGCCAGAACAGCCCATGTGCTGCATGCTTGGGGCCGGCGCCGCTCCTGTGCCGCGTGCCCAAGAGCCGGCAGCACCCATGCGCCGCATGCCTGGGGCCAGCGCTGCGCCTGTGCCATGTGCTCAGGGGTGGGGACGCCCATATGCCGCGTGCTTGGGGCCGGCACAGCTCATGCACTGAACACCTGGGGGCGGGGCCGCCCATGTGCCGTGCGCCCAGGGCCAGCCCCGATCACTCGGTGGTGCACAGGAATGGCCCGGCAGGCACCATGGCACCCGTGGGCACCGCGTTGGGGACCACTGTAAGTGGTCTAAGTGCCATTGGATGGGACAGTGAACCACACCCGGTAGATGTGTGGGTTGCAGATGGGCCTTGAGCCATGTGTATCATTCACATTCCAGCTACTATCAGCCTTTAGAATCTTATCCTAGTTCCACTTCTTCATGTCTTCTATTGACAGTTTCCTTCTCTTTCTTTCTTCTCATTTCATCAGTATTCTCATGAGAGATTTGTGTGTGTTTTTAAACAAAAAAGAGAATATCTGGATTCCATCATCCTACGTATGGACTTTGACAATATATGTTGTATAGTCTTAGAAGCTTATTGACTTTTCTTTTTATAACAGTCTGCCTGTTTCTATTTAAATGCAATTCTGCCAGAGGAATTTTTGGCTCTGTGAACTTAATTCAAGCAGTCTAAAGTCTCTTTTGTATTTTGGATACATTGACCCTTTACTCTGTGAATCCTTCCTGCATGACTGTGCTTAGTCTGTTGGATTAACTTTGGCATAAACACATCCCCTGTGTTGCTTTTGTGTACACTTCCCCTCCCCCCGCCTTCTTTGTCTAATGGTTAAGATTGGTTCGGTTAAGTGTCCATTCATAGGTTGCATAACTCTTTTGAAGACCACTCTGCTCCAGCGCTTCCTTTAAGAGAATTTCTGTTGTCATTGTATGTGATGGAACTTGCTTATCTGCTTTGAACAAACTGAAGTCTTTAATGTCACAAGTTGAGAACAAATGGGGGGGGGGGGGGGGGAAGGTTTAATAAAATCCAGGCAACTGCATACATGCAGATGGTAGAACTTCTTGATCTTTGGTTATTGTTCATCATCCATCTGGGTCAGCTAATTATGCTCATCATTTAGGGGCCAGCATGTCTTGAGTTCAAGTCTATTGCTACCATAGAATCATAGAATACTAGAACTGGAAGGGACCTTGAGAAGTCATCAAATCTAGTCCCCTGCCCTCATGGCAGGACCAAACACCATCTAGATCTTCCCTGACAGATTTTTGTCTAGCCTGATCTTCAATATCTCCAGTGATGGAGATTCCACAACCTCCCTAAGCAATTTATTCCAGTGTTTAACAATCCTGACAGGAAGTTTTTCCTAATGTCCAACCTAGGCCTCCCTTGCTGCAGTTTAAGCCCAATCCTCCTTGTCCTATCGCAGAGGTTAAGGAGAATAATTTTTCTCCCTTCTCCTTGTAACACTCTCTTTTAGGTACTTGAAAGCTGCTATATACCTCTCAGTCTTCTCTTTTTCCAGAATAAACAAACTCATTTATTTTTATCTTCCCTCTTGGTAATGTTTTTTAGGTGTTTAATAGTTTTTGTTGCTCTTGACTAGACTTTCTCCATTTTTCTCTGCATCTCTCCTGAAGTGTGGCATCCAGAACTGTACAAAATACTCCAGTTGAGGCATAATCAGTGCAGAGGACAAGCCTTGTGGACAAGGCTTGTTAGCCTATCAAAGAAAGCTATCCAATTGGTCTGACATGATTTGTTCTTTACAAATCCATAATGACTATTATGTATTACCTTACTATCTTCCAGATGTTTGCAGATGGATTCATTAATTACTTGCGCCATTATCTTTCCTGGCACAAAAGTTAAGCTGACTGGTCTGTAGTTTCCTGAGTGGTTATTTCCCTTTTTATAGATGGAGACTATATTTGTCCTTTTCTAGTCTTCTGTATCTTCCATAACTTTTCAAAGATAGCTTCTCAATCAGCTCCTTGAGTATTCTAGAATGCATTTCATCACGTGCTGCTGACTTGAAAATATCTAACCTTTCTAAGTCATTTTTTAACTTGTTCTTTTCCTATTTTAACTTCTGAATCTACCATGTAAGCTCACTTCCAGTTCTGAGATCTGTGCTGCAGGTGAAGGTTGATCACCTGTTAGAGGTACCATCTTGTATAGCAGCAGTTATCAAACTGCTATACAGAACAATTGTTCATCATGGAAAACAGTGCTGGCTGCTTCTCCTGGTTTCCAGCTCCAGTTACGTGTCCGGGCTCTTCCTTGCAAGGAAAAGCTGCCAGTAAAAGAAG